GGGGGGGCAAATTTCTACCCTATATACTTCAACACTCCTGTCAGATCGTGCTTCACAAAATAGTTTACTTGAAAATAAGTTTCTGCTTCAACAAGTAACTCTTCAATAGTTTGATAAGCTTCCCCAATTGATAGACTACTTTGTTCATGATACTTGACAAATATATCATTATATGTTAGATCTTCTTCTTGCATTTCCATATCAGCATTCACCTAAATTTAAATATTTTCATTTGATATTTATACATACAATAAATTGATTTAATTACTTGATAACGACTATTTTTAATTCGTTTTTGCAACGTAACAACTAAGCAAAAGAGGATTTTATTTAAAGATTTATTTTTCTATGATAATTCATACTTGATTCACAATCAAAAAATGAATTAAACAATTGTTCACGAGCCGATTCAAATGGCGGAACTAAGACTACCATTTGATTGACAACACGAATTTCAAGAACAATTTTCTATTGAATAAAAGCTATTGAATATTATCTACTCGTACGTTTTATTCGCTTACTTTTAATCGCATTCGTTGTTTACTTTTCAATTTTCCTTTTTCATGTTTAATTAATGCTTGTTTCCATAATGAAATAGCTGTTTGTAAACGATCAAATAATTTTCTTTCGACTTTTTCATCAATGGTTTGAATCCATTTCGGAAAATTTGAATAATCATGTAAACAAAATTCATCGACGAGCTTTTGTGCTTGTTGTAATAATTCAGCAAACGCATCGAATCGATATTCACATTCATCTAATTGATTAATATATGTAAACATTAAATCATCTAAACGAAGAATTTCTTCAATCTATAAAGTTAAAATAAAACAATACTGGTTGACAAACAACAAACTGAGATTTTCATTTTCCTACGTTTTCATTATAATTTGCAAATGCTTCGAAACATCGTTGAGCATAGGGCTCCAGTTTATATGATTCCCAAGTTAATTTTGTTCCTTCAACAATTAAATTTTGAATATCTTTTTTCATACTGCCAACCAAATACTCATGTCCGTGTTCAGTATTTACCTTTAAACAAGCAAAATCGTATTCAATGAAAACAAAACATTTAGAATTTCTTATACCTTTGTACTTGATAATTCATAAGCTCGAACGCTTTCAAGTAGACCAATAGCATACGGATAAGTTTGATTAGCTTGATGAGCTTTATTAACTATTGGCAATGGTACTCGATAACCAAGCCATTTTAAATTACGTACCTAATAAAATAAATGTAATAGCGATGCAACATGTCTACTACAGTAAATCACATACCTCTTTTATTAACATAATTATTTCTGGTGTAAAGTTAACTCTTAATCTAAGGATTGTTCCTTTTGTTGCTCGCACTGTTTCAATACTAAAGATAAAACCAGTAACACTCATATTTTTTCTTGCAACCTAGTTGAAAATAAAATTATTTTGAATTAGAATCAGAATATGTGCAGACCTTTTCAAGCCAATCTTCAAAGATCGGACCTGTATTAAGACGTTGTTTAAAACTATCGCCTTCAAATTTTAAACGTTGCCCATCAACATGCTTTTCCCAGCCGGCTCCAAGAACATCTTCAACACGTTTTAAATATCTCATAAGTTGCTTTTCTATTTGTCTAGCCCAAATAATTGAGCCAGTTGTTATCGGTATGTCAACAGTTATTCGACTCATTTTCATTGCTTTACTTGCTGAATATTTTGCCTTAAATTTTTCGTGTAATTTATCAATATCTATTTTAACACGTTGAATCAATTGTGTTTGATATTCTCTGATAGCATTTCTTATATGTTGTCGTATGAGTAAATCATGGAAACGTGCAAATATTTGAAACATTTCGCTAGCATTACGAGCTTTGGCTAGTTGTTCACGAAGACGCGTTGTTATACGACGTTCAACTTTTTCAATGCGTTCTTCATAAATTTTTATTGTATTCGTCCAGATTTCGGTACCTTCGGGAGAACATTCGAGAATATTAATATGTTTAAAACTTTCAAAAGCTTCATGAATTTCTTCCACAGCACTCGAATCAGATTGATCAACGAGATGAACGTTGGGCATTGATGGATCAACGATCTGCTTTTGTTGTTTCGATAGAAGACGTTCAATGACCGATCGAAATTGTTCATGTTGACGACGAAATTGTCGCAGATCTTCCAAGCGTGCTTGTAATTTTTTATGTTCTGGTGTTATTTTCCAAGCTTGTTTGAGTTGTTGAGCGGTAACAACATTTTTTTTCGTCATATCTCGCAGTAACGTTTGACATTTTTCATATTCTTCATCCTAAATCAATACAAAATCTTTTATTTTCAACAATAATTACTCAATTAAGGCTTACCCAAAGTGAAAAAATTTCCATACATTCATTTAAAATTTCATCGAACTTATCGAATGGAATTTCAACTAAACGTTTTGTCGAAAGAATCTAAAAAAAAGAAAATGTAGAAGAATATTTTTCCCTTTCGAATTCAATAGATTTTTACTTTAATCATTTGTGCATTCAAATCTCGTGAAATAGCTTCAATAAAACGTAAAATTCTATTCACTGGATAGCGAGTATTTCGAACACGTTTCAAATGATTGAAAACAACTGCTATTGCATTTTTTACTTTCGGTAAATCATTTGCCGATAAAAGATCGTGAATAGGAAAATCTTTCATTAGTAAATTATAATTCTTCACTTTATCCATTGCCTCTTTTAAACCAGTATCCGAATCAAAACTAATTGTTGCATGAAAACGTTTACCAAGTTTCAATGCGTCCAATGTTAATAAGACTTCGGGACTAGTCATTTGCTCTTGAATTTTATATAATGCACGTTCGATATTTAACCAAAATGTTGTTTCCTGCATAGCTGAACCTGTCGATGGATCGCGTTCAAGTTTTGTTACCTGAGAAAAAAGGAAAGCAAAGGAAGATGAAAATTTCACAATAACAAAAGTCTTGTTTGTACCTTTTGAATCTCTCTTATCCATCGATTTACAGTTGCCTGTAATTGATTGAGAAAATTTGAATCCTCAACTTTTTCCCGAAATAAATCAACATTCGGTCGTTCATGCTTTTCTTGACATTGTCGAAGTGCTTGACTGATTGACGCGTGCGGAATAAGATTAACATTGGGAATGCTAACTGTTTGATTCATTTGTAATAGATTTGCCTCTAATTCATTTAGTTTTTCTTCGAGAACAACAACTGATTTTTCACGATCCCTACAAAAGAAGAAGCAGAGGGCGAACTAATTTTTACAAGACAATGAATATAAAAACCTTTCTTTTTGTTGACGAAGAAAACTTTTTAAATAAGGTGTCATTGCCTGCGTAAGAAATGTTCGAAATACTTCTGCTGGTGCTCGATTTGTAAATGTGGCAAAATGAATTTGTTGAGATATTTTTTTATCCATATCAATTGTTGGTGTTATTTTTATTAGTGCCACACTTAAAATAAAAATACAGAACAACTATTCTAGATAAATCTATTATGGGTTACCTCATCCCTTTTTGTCCAGCATATGTTGTTTCCGTGGAAAATTCAAATTGAATTGAATTTGAACCATTTGTTTCCGTATTATCAGCACCATCTTGTTCTTCGTCTAAATTTTATTATATTCGGCATTGAAGTTTGTTTTTTCTTTTATTTACCTTTGCCTTGTTGAATAATACGAATGAAAAAAACGACACATTGCGGATCACTTAGAAACCTTCGTATTCCATCAGTAGTCGATGGATTTTCCTGTAGAGCTTGTTGAAACGCATCAATTTCGCTTGTCGAATTTAAATCAGTAGCCAATGGAACTACACGAAGTAAATAAGCAGTAAATTGTTGAATTTCAACCGACGTAGCTATGGCTGGCTGAATTTTAGCCACTGTATTGGGGCTATTGCTATTTGCGTTGGTCTCTTCGGTTAGCATTACTTTATAATAAAGCGGTTGCTCGTGTGCAAAAATTGCGATTTACACAAGTATAACGGAAAGATCGGTTTTTCGTCTTTTATAGCGGAATAAAGAAAAAAAAGAAATGCGCACAGCTGTAACCAACATTGGAGGATTTTTCGATGGATACAGAAAAAATGGCAACAGCAGGTTTGTTTTATCAAGTAAACATGATCGAATAGGATAGAATATGATCATTGTGTGAAACATGTCTTGATGCAATAAAATTTTCTTTTTCTATTTTTGTCTTTGTTGTTTGATACAGTTATCGAGGTCATTTTCTATTGAAAGTTTCCTTGATTAGAACAGCTTTTACAGGAATTCATTTCTATGATATTTCTCCTTGGTAAAACGAGTGTAGAACGATATTCTGGAATTAAAAAGTAAGATTTATTTTAGTAATTAATCTCAAAACAAAATAATATGTTGAAGATAGTTTAATTTTCTAATTGAAAAATTATGAAAGAATTCATCCTTGTACTGAGATACTTTCAAATACTACGTCACTAATACAATGGATTCAATTCAATAATAGACAGAAAGAAAGCAATACTCCTCAAATGATAACATTGAAATATAGTTTATGACTCCAGCTCGGTATCTCCGATACAATGACTCATCAAAGAATGAAGGAAAGAGAGAATATTAATTTAGAATTTAAGGAGTAAAATGTATCTTTCTGAAACGTCCTGTTTTCATTCTTTCGAGAATCGTTTTGTTTGAAGTAATTAACTTGGATGAATAAATGTTTGAAAGAGCTAAAAAGGAAGATGAATTCCTTTTCATGCTGCTTGATAAGCGTCTATCGGTAGGTGCATCGCTAAAATATTTCAACTTCGATTGATCGTTTATTCTATCGAAGTAATGAGCCTAGCTGAAAATTGTATTTGGTCATCGACATGTGACAAAATTTTTTCAGAAAATAGAAACGTACAGTATGGTTGTGAAGAATACTACCAACAAGCTTCCATTTTACATCGTTTCAATTCATTAGTTAAAAATACAGTAATAAGTACTAATGTAGCTCTATATCAAAGAGTAAATTATAAACTTCTTGAAAGAAATCAGTTGAGATACAGAATAATTTATTTCATTAACGAAAACAACATTATTAAACAACAAAAAATGTTACGTATATTTGTTCTTGTTTATCATTTGTATTCTAACAATAGTTTGACTTTAAGAATGAAAGCTTCGATCAATTCGGCGTTCATATTCTGCTCTTGTATTTGAGAATTTAGCATTTCTAATTGATTCTCTAGCTTCTTCAATTGTTTTCACTTTGAATAATTCGAGAATTTTTTCTTCTTCAATCTTTGGTTGTTGTCCCCATACAAATGAAACACCGCAACCAACTCGTTTGGCATCGGTTTGAGCTACTTTAACGGGCGTTCGTTTTGGCTTCTCATTTTTTTGCCATGTAAGTTTTCCATTGATTCGTACCAGTATGTATCGGAAAAAAGGTCGGCTACTCAAATCGAAGTAATTGCTAAAGCCGTTGTTACCACAACTAGTCGTACCATCACAGCCTTCTGTTTTATACCAAATCAATTGACAATTTGGACAGCGCTTAATTAAATTTCGAGGATCAGTATTATCTAATAAATTATATGACATTAACGGTGCAACTTTATCTGCAAATTCGTTACAAAGTTTGATATTTTCTTGTTTCATTTTTAGGTGAAATGTGTAGCAGTCTAATTCTTCCATTGCAGCACCATGTTTTCCTTCGAATTCTTTCAATAAACTTTCTACTTCTTCTCGAAATTGAATGATACACATATGCAGTACTTCATCGCTTTCTAGACTCCGTGCAGATGCGACAGCTCCTATTAATGTCGAGTATTCTGCTTCAATGATTTTCGCTCTGTTTTGATACTGTTGGAATGACGCTTTAATTGCATTTCGCATTTCGTACGTATTGAAATTCAATTGAAACTCTTCATCAGTTATTACTAAGCTTTCAGCTGGCATATTTGATAAACAGCTATACATTAGATCGGCTACCTGTGAATTCAAACATTGCTCGGACATGAAAATAATATTCGACACTTTAGGACAATCGTCTTCAAATGAGCTTAAGATTTCTCTATAATCGAGTTCAGGGTTTTTTGATTGATCCCAATGTGAAATCATGACAATCACTTTTGAGACATACTTGGAGACTGGTAATTCGAGTTGAAAATAATCTTCGATTATCTTATCGAATCGACTGTCGTATTTGATAATAAAAAAAATTGCATTTACTTTTGTTGTCGTTAAACCTGTTCTTAATAAAAATGCATGTTTATACGACTGCTTTGCACTATCAGTTCCTGGTGTATCAATTATAGCAAAAGGAAAGCTACCACAGTTAACATCATTTTGAAAAAGCTTTTGAGTAACACTTCCTCTTGCTGCACCTGATTGATGCGATGTTCCACACAATTTATTAGCCAATGTCGTTTTTCCAGCTCCTGTTTTCCCCATAAGAACAGCATTTGGCTTATATGGTAATTGTTTTGAAGCTGAATACTTCTTAATTGTAGCTTGAGCCATCTTGATAAGTAGTATTGTTGCTAAAAAAGTAAAAATATTCTCCTATATGATTACCTTCCGTTATAAATTTTATTTAAAAAAAACGGATGAATGCATGAACAGTATACAGAAATATTGATTCTTATTCAATGTATCTAAGAAATTCTCGGCCGATTTGCATTCAATAGGGATATGACGGGCTTATATATATAATGAATGTGAAAAATTTCAGAATCTCCATGGTCATTAAATTTATGCCGGTGATTGAAAGCGTAATTTCATCAAAAAGAAGTTGCCAATTAAACGACGAGAAAAAAGGTTGCCATATAACGATTCCAGTATAGGTTTATGCTAAACATGTCATGGCTCAAAGACGTAGATAAGTGTATACATAGAATAGTATCGAAGTATAGACTTGATTGCAAAGGCAAAGGGCGCAGGAAGGAAGATACATGAGAACAATGGGTATTTTGAATTACCTACCTTCCGAATTTGCTTCAAACTTTTTCTGAATGTACAATACAAAGTAAACCGGCGCTGTATATATAACAATCATGTTAACATCGAGAAAACTATTTTTTCCCACACGAGAACAAGTTGTTTAAACTCAAAACGAAAAATCCACATAATTTTTCACAATAGAACCTTCTGTTTACTTTGATCACGCGTGGTGCAATTTTTTCCCCCGTGACGTCACATCATTGGCGTCATGACTTAAGCAGTCTCAGTCAGGGACGGCGCGAACGGGGGAGAGTTGGGAGGGGGGGGTCCCCCACCTTTGGAAATTTTTGTCTCAATTTTATTCATATTTGAAGAAAATAGAAGAGATTTTTATTGATTTACTCCGATTTTTGAAAAAAAACCTCCCGTTTTCAAGTAACCCCCCTATATTTTTGTTGCTTCGCGCCGTCCCTGATCTCAGTCTTTATTTTGCTCGTCGCGTTAATATTTACCATTTAGAAAAATGTTGGGGATCAACGAATGAAGTCATTTTGCCTAGTCTCTCTATCAACATTTTTTAACGCTGAACAAAACTTGAGCATGCACTTCATATATATAAAACATTCGTTTGTATAGCAGAAATCATAATTTAACGACTTTTATAAGGTAAGATAGAGAGTGAAGGCTTCGAAGAAAAAGTTTCTTTTTCTAGATATTTTAATTTTTTTCATTCTATATTTTGCTCTTCCCGTGATACCTATTAGAATATGGTTTGGAGAATAGGTTTTCTTTACTTTAATTATGATTACTTACAAAATTTTCTATCTTAAAAGTATTCATTAAAGCAAGCTTAATAAATAAGTATTAGACACCTTGAAATTCTTTCTTATATTTTAGAAAACAATATTACTTTCAATTATGATTCAAGCTTTAATCAAACAGAAGTTAGATTCGAAACAATTACTATATGAACCATGTGCCATCATTATTGGAAAAAGTGGAGCAGGAAAAACGACTTTAGTTAAGAAGCTTTGTAATGAGAATCATGAATCGAACACCGGTAACTCCAATAAACAACAAGAATACGGTCGTTGCCATGTTGATTGCTACGAACATGGATTCACTATAGTCGATACACCTGCTACTGATTGTTCCAAGGAAGTATATAAACATGCAGACTTATTCAAAGAAAGTTTAACAAAAGAAAAGCTGAATACTATCTTCTTCATTATAAAGTATGATGGTCGCTTTGAAAAAATGATCGAAAATTATTTTCAACTTGAATCACTGGTCTCAAAATACGCTTCGAAAATTGTTGTAATTATTTCATACTGGGATCAATCAAAAGATCCTGAAAACGAATTCAATGAAATGTGTGAATTATTTGCAGAAGAATGTCCCAATATGAGTAATTTAATAGTCTATTCTGAGCAGTCTTCAGGTGCTGATGTGGCCAATCTCATGTATAACTGTATATCCAACATGGATGAAGAAGTATTGGTAATAACCGATGAAGAATTTACCTTAAACTTCAATCTATATGAAATTGAACGTTCAATAAACAAGTTATTCGATCAATACCAAAAACAAGTCAATTTAATTGTACAGAAAAATATAGAATCAATTGAAGAAAAATCTGATCTTTTTCGTACGATTATTGATAAATTTAAAGTTGAGATTGAGGAACTAATGGAACATTATAGTGAAGCAAATGTTAATGGAATGCATCCATTAGATTGTGATAAATTGTTGGCTAAAATGAAAAACGAAAATGCTACAATTCACAAAGAGTTTGCTGTCAAGGTTAGAGCGCTGATGTCCTCTAATTTATTTAATGACGAAAGAAGTGTTGCTGAAACAAAAAACATGGTTGCGAGTGTCAATAGCTCTGATATGAAGAAAGATGATCAACAAGAGATCAACCAAAACTGTAATAATAAAAATACAGAACAAAATGATGAAGAAAAGAATTTGGAAAGTAGCAATCTCCCAACAGTTGAACAAACGAATTGGAGATGCCCCTGTTCTCTTTTTCAGTGATTATGCTAATTACATTTTTTCTGTTCGTAACAATAAACTCGAATCTATAAACATAGATACTACACTGAAATAAAAAGCAAGCCGTTCAATCGAATTTCGCAATGCAGTGTGTCAAGAGAACAATCAAGTTTTGACAGGGAGAATAATTTTTACTCTGCACCCATATATAGGGATGTAACAATACCAAAGCAGTATTGAGATATTGGTGGACATTGGCAGGGACGGCGCGAAGCAACAAAAATATAGGGGGGTTACTTGAAAACGGGAGGCTTTTTTCAAAAATCGGAGTAAATTAATAAAAATTTCTTCTATTTTCTT